CAAATGCATTACAGGAGGATCTAAATAAACTGCAGGGGTGGTCTGAAAAATGGCAAATGAAATTCAACACCAGCAAGTGCAGCGTACTTAATATTGGAAGAACAAATACTTATAATGTATACAGCCTTAACAACATCAACCTAGAGAAGTCGACTTGTGAAAGAGACCTAGGGGTACTTGTAAGCCCGGACCTACGGCCTAGAAAACAGTGCGTTAATGTTCGAAATGAGGCAAACAGAGTATTTGGTTTTATATCTAGAAGTGTAAGTAACAAGAGTGCAGAGGTCTTACTGCAACTATATCTTGCGCTAGTCAGGCCACATCTCGATTATGCGGTTCAGTTCTGGTGCCCCTATTATAGAATGGATATAAATTCACTAGAGTCGGTGCAGCGAAGAATGACAAAAATGATTCCGGGACTTAAAAACCTTCCATATCAGGATAGGCTAAAGAAACTTAACTTGCATTCCCTAGAAAGACGAAGAGTGCGGGGAGATATGATAGAAGTATTTAAGTGGGTGAAAGGAATCAATAAAGGGGATATAGATAAAGTTCTTATAATATCCGAGCAGGATAGGACTCGGAGCAACGGATTCAAGTTGGATAAGTTTAGGTTTAGGAGGGAGATAGGAAGAAACTGGTTCACAAATAGGGTGGTGGACGAGTGGAACAAGCTTAGCAACTTTGTAGTAAGTGCGGGAATGTTTCAGAAGGAGGCTAGATGGATTCATGGATGATAGAGAGTGGTAGTAACTCTCGACAGGAGTTGCCATGCACAGGCCAACCGGCCTATTGCAGACTCCTTATTTTCTTATGTTCTTATGTTCAGAGAGTGACCGACCGCCCAAGCGGCTGACGAGCCGATCAGTGGCGAAGAGGACAAAAACAAAAAGAGAGTTGAAAAGATTACATTTAGTAGACGTATTTTTTATGGAAGAGAGGCATTTTGACCAAGGATTACTGACACAGCTGTCTGGTGTTTATTTCCAGGACTATTAGCCAGTACATTAAATACATACTTCTGAAAATATTGATTATCACTTCGTCGTGAAACTTTAATTATTTATTCTGTTTTGGTGTTGTAGGATAAAAATTATAATACAGTAGTTTAGCCTATAATAGTTTATATTTTCTGTATACACTACCAATATCTGACAATTTACTAGGGCGTTCTCAAGTAATATTGCTTATCACTCATTTTTGTCGCAGGTGCTACAAGAAGTACAAAATTCTCAAATAAGGAGGATATATTAAGGGAAATCCCACAAGGGAAGCGTAAAAAGCAACAAACAAGTGGATAATACTAAAAGGGGGAGATGAACTGACTTTGTTAGAGACTGTTAGTTGATTAAAAATGTCCAGAGATCACTAGACAGATGCCCTCACTAAGGCAACCCTATTGCCCAGAGAGATTATAACGCCTGCAGTTGTCTAACTTATATTACATGTATCATTGGAGAGGTAAATAAGAGACGTACCTTGTATGTTGTATTTATTAACCTGTTACATATATTCATTAGCAATACTATTACTTATACTGTATGTCACATTTCGCAATGAACACAAAATTATCAATAAAATCTCAAGAAGAATATTGTTTTCAGATTTTATTAAAGTTAATTTTTTATTACTATCAATCTTCCTAGAAGGCAATTCGAATTTTCGAAAGGTGTACATACTTTTCACATGGTATACATACTTTTCAAAAGGTATACATATTTTCCATAAGGTATACATACTTCACACAAGGTATACATATTTTCCAAAAGGTAAACATATTTTCCACAAGGTGTGCATATATATATATATATATATATATATATATATATATATATATATATATATATATATATATATATATATATATATATATATATATATATATATATATATATTTCATCTAGATCCACAATGAAAACGTGGATAAGATAAATCTTGATAAAATCACACGGGAAAAGGGAAACAACGGAGCACCTTATCTTTCGTCTTTATTCAAGACATCTTCAGAGGCAACTAGATTACATGGACAGAGAGAGGCTTAAATATACAGGGTGACCTTATTAAACATGAGGTCAGGTCATAATGATGTCATGTTGGTGTTGGTGTGGAGATTAGTGGATGACATCATTATGACCTGACCTCATGTTTAATAAGGTCACCCTGTATATTTAAGCCTCTCTCTGTCCATGTAATCTAGTTGCCTCTGAAGATGTCTTGAATAAAGACGAAAGATAAGGTGCTCCGTTGTTTCCCTTTTCCCGTGTGATTTTATCAAGATATATATATATATATATATATATATATATATATATATATATATATATATATATATATATATATATATATATATATATATACAAATAAATCACTGTAGGTGCGCGTGATCCAGGTATATACTGATAACCACAAGGAAAAAGAAAACACGGAGTGTTTTCTTTTTCCTTGTGGTTATCAGTATATATACTGTATATATATATATAGTTATATATATATATATATATATATATATATATATATATATATATATATATATATATATATATATATATATATATATATATATATATATAATATATATATATATATATATATATATATATATCTTGATAAAATCACACGGGAAAATGGAAACAACGGAGTACCTTAGCCTTCGTCTTTATTCAAGACATCTTCAGAGGCAACTGGATTACATGGACAGAGAGAGGCTTAAATATACAGGGTGACCTTAAAAACAGGAGGACAGGTCATAATGATGACATCCACTAATCCACACACCAACACACACGTAGAGGAGCTTAAGAGAAGGGTGGTGACGTGACTAACCAGGTCAGAAAAAAGGACCCACCCTGTATATTTAAGCCTCTCTCTGTCCATGTAATCCAGTTGCCTCTGAAGATGTCTTGAATAAAGACGAAAGCTAAGGTACTCCGTTGTTTCCATTTTCCCGTGTGATTTTATCAAGATATATATATATATATATATATATATATATATATATATATATATATATATATATATACTTTACCCAAGGTATACATGCTTTCTACAAGGTATACATACTTTCCACAAGGCATACTTACTTCCCACAAGGTATACATACTTTACACAAGGTGTACATACTTTCCACAAGGTGTACATACTTTCCACAGGGTATAATAATAATAATAACAATAATTAACGGTTTATTGAAAAAATTCTGCAGCCCGAAGGCTGAAAATATACATTGGACATAGATGACTTATTACATACATTGGTGGTTTAACAAAAGCCTTCATTATAGAAAGGTAAAGGAAGAACAAATACTTATAATGTATACAGCCTTAACAACATCAACCTAGAGAAGTCGACTTGTGAAAGAGACCTAGGGGTACTTGTAAGCCCGGACCTACGGCCTAGAAAACAGTGCGTTAATGTTCGAAATAAGGCAAACAGAGTATTGGGTTTTATATCTAGAAGTGTAAGTAACAAGAGTGCAGAGGTCTTATTGCAACTATATCTTGCGCTAGTTAGGCCGCACCTCGATTATGCGGTTCAGTTCTGGTGCCCCTATTATAGAATGGATATAAATTCACTAGAGTCGGTGCAGCGAAGAATGACAAAAATGATTCCGGGACTTAGAAACCTTCCATATCAGGATAGGTTAAAGAAACTTAACTTGCATTCCCTAGAAAGACGAAGAGTGCGGGGAGATATGATAGAAGTATTTAAGTGGGTGAAAGGAATCAATAAAGGGATATAGATAAAGTTCTTATAATATCCGAGCAGGATAGGACTCGGAGCAACAGTTCAAGTTGGATAAGTTTAGGTTTAGGAGGAGATAGGAAGAAACTGGTTCACAAATAGGGTGGTGGACGAGTGGAACAAGCTTAGCAACTTTGTAGTAAGTGCGGGAACTCTGGAAAGTTTCAAAAGGAGGCTAGATAGATTCATGGATGATAGAGAGGGGTAGTAACTCTCGACAGGAGCTGCCATGCACAGGCCAACCGGCCTATTGCAGACTCCTTATTTTCTTATGTTCAGCAACATCACCATCACCTTCAGCATCATCACCATCGCCTTCAGCATCATCACCATCACCTTCATCACCATCACCTTCAGCATCATCACCATCACCTTCACTATTATCACCATCACCTACAGCATCATTACCATCACCTTCAGCATCATCACCATCACCTTCACTATTATCACCATCACCTTCAGCATCATTACCATCACCTTCAGCAACATCACCATCATCTTCAATATCATCACCATCACCTTCACTATTATCACCATCACCTTCAGCATCATTACCATCACCTTCAGCAACATCACCATCACCTTCAATATCATCACCATCATCTTCAGCATCATCACCATCACCTTCAGCAACATCACCATCACCTTCAGCATCATCACCATCACCTTCACTATTATCACCATCACCTTCAGCAACATCACCATCACCTTCAGCATCATTACCATCACCTTCAGCATCATCACCATCACCTTCACTATTATCACCATCACCTTCAGCATCATTACCATCACCTTCAGCAACATCACCATCATCTTCAATATCATCACCATCACCTTCACTATTATCACCTTCACCTTCAGCATCATTACCATCACCTTCAGCAACATCACCATCACCTTCAATATCATCACCATCACCTTCAGCATCATTACCATCACCTTCAGCAACATCACCTTCAGCATCATTACCATCACCTTCAGCAACATCACCATCACCTTCAATATCACCACCATCACCTTTAGTATCACCACCACCACCTTCAGTATCATCACCATCACCTTCAGTATCACCATCATCACCTACAGTATCACCACCATCACCTTCAGAATCATCACCATCACCTTCAGTATCACCACCATCACCTTCAGAATCATCACCATCACCTTCAGAATCATCACCATCACCTTCAGAATCATCACCATCACCTTCAATATCACCACCATCACCTTCAGAATCATCACCATCACCTTCAGTATCATCACCATCACTTTCAGTATCACCACCATCACCTTCACGATCACCACTATCAGCTTCAGTATCACCGCTACCAGCCACTTACAACCTACTACTACTACCCACTCACCACCTTTACCAACCACCACATCCCACTTTCACCCACTCACAGCCCACTACCACCACAACCCACTATCACCCACTCACCACCATTACTACCACAACCTACTACCTCTCAATCACCACCGTTAGCATCACAACCTACTATCACCCACCTACAACCCACTATCATCCACTCACAGCCCACTACAACCCACTCACCACTATTACCACCACAATCCACTATCACCCACTCACCACCATTACTACCACAACCCACTACCTCCCACTCACCACCGTCTCCACCCCTTCTTATTGCCATTATGCTGACAAAGAAAGGTGTGGGGCTCACTGCAGAGAGTTTCATGAAGAAGATGGCTGCTGTAAGCATTATCATACACCATCCGACCACATAAGGGCATTTCCCCGTCGGGTTGGCCACTCTTCCAATGATCGGAATCTACACTTTTCCCGTCCAACCACCTCCTGTACCTTACACCCATCCACACTTCTGAGGAAAGACGAGTGTCTTAAGGAAACGTTATTATTATTATTATTATTATTATTATTATTATTTTCAACCTAATTTGATGTTACTATACTTTATACCCATTCCAAGTATTTTGAGTGATTCGTTCATGCTACCACACCACGACAAAGTAACACAAATTTGGGCACTCGATGGAGTTGTACTGTAGCTTGACGGGGATACCCACTATACTCCTCACGTATTTTTTTACATCATAACATGCATACTAACCATCGTAACTGTAAGGCTGAAGATAAATTTGTAAAGCACTGAAGCTTTGGGTTACGAGTAAGTCAGCTCCATGCCCGAGAGTGCTGCAGAAGAGGCGGGCATCAATCCAGGAGAGTCGAGTGGTGTTGGCGTACACACAGTACAGCCCGCCCACCTCCTTAAAGGGAGCACTGCACATCGGCTCTGTAAGGACATAGGAAAACTGTTATATTTGTTTTGTGAAGATGACAATTTATTTGATACTCAGTTGATACTTTGGAAATAAATTACTAGATGTTTGAAGAAGAAAACATTTACGCTAAAGAATGATTTAAACAAAAATAATGCTGATTTGCTAGTCACAAAGTAATTAGCTGAATGTGATCAGACTTACTAAAAAAAAGCAGAAGTAATCACTGGTTTGGATTACTGACATCAAAATAAATTTACGCTATTGGAAACACCATGTTAATATGACCATCATTAATGTAATTATAAAATCCCCGTATCCATAGGGTGAATTGCTTTCTTATTTTAAGATCATTTCATTAACAGATGAATTTCAAGTTGAAGCTTCAAATATTTAAAAAACTTGATTATAACAGTATGAGGCGGGTTATGATAGTAGTCTTTATTACCTCGCGACAGAATGCTCGCTAACAACCTGCTCGCTCTTAATAACAATATAGTTATATCAAATACATAAATGTTTTATAAAAAAAAATTATTAAATCAAGCTTTAGACTCTAAATAAATTTATATTATAATATATTAACAATAAGACTAGTTCCCTGGACGCTGTACGTAAGTATTTCAAAAATTCTCGTGAACACGTGACAACATACTATTATTTAGGATGAAACAAAGGTCAGAAGTACAAGAATTTGAACCTCTAGCTATAAGATCACTACTTCCAAGTTCTGACCGTTTCGGGTTTTGCAGGGGATAGTTGCGTCACCCAGGTTGGACTCGTCCTTGTAGAGGGTACAAGTGTTGTCCTTGTAAGTATACATATGCGACCATTCCGTCTCAGCTGCCTTCATAGCACAGTTGATCTCACTATAAACGTTTAAAGTGGCGGAACTTCCGGTGGTCGGAGATTCAGGTGAGACCTGTCTTGGATGCCACATTATCCCGTGGTTGGCATCTGTCATGATGACCAACTCTATCAGCAACATCACACCAGGCAACATGATGAATACCACCCTCGGGAAGTGCAGTGGAAAGACTGAAGTGAGCTGGATAGTTGACCGCCTCCCAGTCTGTGTACGAGTATTGAGCGACTTGCGGTACAAGGGGCGGAAAGCATTTAGAAATGTTAAGGATCTGTAAGAGTCTAATGGACATCATCAACGACAATATACCATAAATTTTGCTCCTTTAAATTTTAATGGTGTAAAATCTCAGTAGTTCCCATTGGCGATTATATTAATCAGTTTAGAACAACAAAAATATTATAATATCGATGCTTTATACATGGCTACGTTTAGTGAAAGAAGGCCAAGTGCAATCAGCTGGTTGGTGTGTAAGAGAAGCGGTAGTAGTTCAATTCTTTCTGTTCAGGTTCTTGAGGTACCAGTGTAATTAAAAAGTTTATGCCAAGTATTAGTTTCTTACAACAGTACGTGTTTATTGTAATGAAGAGGGAGATACTTGTACTGTACGTATATATATTCCTTGAATTTTTATGGTCGTACACACCGGACTGTGTTTCCCTATATCTTCACTGAAAACTAGACCTTCCAAAGTCTCGGAACTTCCTGTACTCAGCTTCCCAAATAAAAAGCTTTAATATTCATTCTGTAAGAGGAAGTCATACAAATAAATACCTGTAATATAAAATTGTGTAATAATAATAATAATAATAATAATTAACGGTTTATTGAAAGAGCTTGGCAGCCAGAAGGCTGAAAATATACAGTTACATATTTGGGGAATGGGTTTCGAATTACAAATAATATACAAGTAACATAAGTGATACAAATAAGATATATAATAACTAGATGGGGAAAAGCTCAAACTACAGTGCATTTCAACATAGTGACAGTGCAAGAAGTAGTATTTACTGGGAGTGAATACACTGGTTTATTACAAGTTATTGATAATTTTTACAATGGTTGGGACTGGGCTGTTCTTAAAGCGATCAGTTCGTGCACGTATGGGCTGGATGCGGTTGTGGTGTCGAACAGCAATTCTCGGGCTAGGGATCTCAGGTGGTAGTAGGAGCCGTGTCGAGGATGGTGTAGAAGCTTCTCACCAAATTTGCAGATGAGGTCGTGGTGATGGTCAGTGAGAACCGAAGGGTCAGTGTGTTGAGCGCTTCTTGATATGTGGAGTAGGAAGGGGAGAGAATAATCTTGCATGCCCTCTTTTGCACTTTTTCTAGGTGTTTACGTTGTGTGGCATTTAGGGAGGAAGACCAGGTAGGGGAGGCATAGGTGAGCTTGGGAAGTATGAATGTTGTGTAAACACTGAGGAGCTCGGTTGCAGGAACTCCCAGGGACTTGAGTCGGCGGAGGAGGTGGAGACGGAAACTGGAGGATTTGACAACTTCACTGACGTGTGGTTTCCAATTTAGTTTGTTGTCTATGGTGACGCCGAGGAGCTTCGTGGAATCTACAACCTGGAGTGTGTTCGGACCTAAAGTAATGGAAGGAGGTGGGACAATGTCGGAGGAGAGGTTGATGTGCATAACCATGGTCTTGGTATGGTTGATGGTGACATGGTTGTTGGTGGCTCAGTTTTGGAGACTGTTCAAAAAAATCCTGAAGGGCGGTATAGTGCCTTGGGGGACGCCACAGGTGAGTGACTGAAAGGTGGAGACAGCCCCTCGGAAGCGTACAGCTTGGCGTCGGTCACTGAGGAAGTCTGTAAGCCATGGTATAAGACTTCTCCGAAGCCCGAGGTCAATAGCTTTGTTGATGATTATATTGTGGTCGACTAGGTCGAATGCTTTAGTGAAATCAATGAAGGCGACAGCTACAGACGTTTTTCGTTTCTCGAGATGGCGGTATATGTAATCGAGAAAGCTGACAAGACAGTGAGTGGTGGAGGAAGTTTTCATATTGCCAAAATGCTGAGGGTCTACGACTCCTGCAATATCAGCATAGGCCCAGTAGAACACAAAACTTTTGCAGATTAGGCTGGGTATTGGGGTGATTGCAATAGGTCGTAGCTGATTTAAGGATTGTGGGCTGGTTGACTTGGGCACTGGTGATACATAAGAGGTCTTCCAGTCAGCTGGGCATCTGGCTTGACTGAGAGAAGCATTGATGATGGAGCATAGGGGTTTAGCAAGCTCCGGGGAGAACTCCTTGAAGAGTTTCATTGGTAAGTCAATGGGGGTGGTAGAGCGTTTTAATTTTAGTTTGTCCAGGCGTTTTGCTACTTCAAATTCTTCTACTAAGTCAGTGGGAAGGGGGGCTGGTAGGTAAGCAGGGAGAGTGGTTGTGTCAAGCCGGGGGAGCGTCTGGCATATAGTAGCGAAATGGTTATTTGATTGCTCAGCTGCGTCAACAGTAGTGAGATGGCTAAGGAAGGGGAGGGGGTGCGTCTTATTGTTTAGTCCACAGAGTTCTTTAAGCTTACCATACCATTGACTGATGTTGGTCTGCTTCAGGTGTTGTAATTTGGTTGGGTAGTGGGACTTCTTTGCAGTGCGTATTTCGCGGATGACTCGGTTGCGAAGGGACCTGTAGCAGATGTGGTCATTGAGATGAAAGGCTCTGTCTCTCTGTTGCATAAGTCTTTTGATCCGAGGTGTGATCCAGGGCAAGTCAGCTGGGTGAGATCTGACGGACTTCTCGGGGAAGAAGTGGTGGTGAGCTTCCGTGGTGGTGTTGGTATAATTTATCCATTTGGTTTCCACGTCATCCACGCTAAGTACTTCAGTCCAGGGATGGTGAACAATCCACTGCCCAAAGAGGCGCACTGCAGAGTCAGTAATCGGCCTGTAGGTCTTGATGTAGGGTCTCTGTATTTGAGTGGGAGTGGCAGCTGGGGACCAGAGCACTGATAAGTGTGTGCTACACCCGATAGGAGGCATTGGTTGAGGTGGTTGGTACTGGTCCGCTAAGTCAGTTAAGATAAGGTCAAGGGTGTGTGTGTGTGTGTGTGTGTGTGTGTGTGTGTGTGTGTGTGTGTGTGTGTGTGTGTGTGTGTGTGTGTGTGTGTGTGAAGAGTCAAACATGTGGTAGGCTGTATTTTTGTCAATCTCCAATCATTACATTACATGGCATGCGTCATTCCACCTTGTTTGACGCATTTCTCTCTCCTTTTAGTCCAGACCTGACCTCTCTTTCCCAGTTATACCTTAAAACTGTTTCAGACATTTCTCTTCCCCTTCCATCCTCATTGCTACGCTTTCCATAATCGTCACTTCTTCCACATGCCTCACCTCTTTCCCATGCCTCACCCCTTTCCCGTGCCTCACCCCTTTCACATGCCTCACCCCTTCCTCATGCCTCACCCATTCTTATGCCTCATCCCCTCCCCATGCCTCACGCCTCACCCCTTCCTCATGCTTCATCCCTTCCCCATGCCTCACCCCTTCCTCATGCCTCATCCCCTCCCCATGTCTCACCCCTTACCTCATACCTCACCTTCCTCATCCTCACACCTTCCCCATGCCTTTTCCTTCCCCATGCCTCCTCCTTCCTCATCCCTCATCCCCTCCCGCGCCTCACCCTTACCTCATGCCTCACCCCTTCCTCATGCTTCATCCCTACCCCATGCCTCACCCCTACCCATGCCTCACCCCTTCCCCATGCCTCCCCTTCCTCATGCCTCATCCCCTCCCATGCCTCAGCCCCTTACCTCATACCTCACCCCCTTTCCTCATGCCTCACACCTTCCATGTCTCACCCTTACATGCCTCACAACTTCCTCATGTCTCATCCCTCCTCATTCCTCACCTCTTCCTCCTCACCCCTTCCTCATGTCTCATCCTCCTCATACCTCACCCCCTTACCTCATGCCTCACCCCTTCCCCATGTCTCATCCCTTCCCCATCCTCACCCCTTCATCATGCCTCATCCCTTCTTCATGTCCCACCCCTTCCTCATGCCTCACCCCTTCATCATACCTCATTCCTTCCTCGTACCTCACCCATTCCTCATGCCTCACCCCTTCTTCATGCCCCAGCTTCCTCATGCCTTACCCCTTCCCCATGCCTCACCTTCATCATTGTCTCAGCTCTTCCCCATGGCGCACCATCATACCTCACCCCTTCTTCATGCCTCACCCCTTATTCATGCTCCACCCCTTCCTCATGCCTTACCCCTTCCTCACGCCTCACCCTTTCCCCATCCCTCACCTTGTTCTCATGCCTCACCCCTTACTCATGCCTCACCCCTTCTTCATGCCCCACCCTTTCCTCATGCCTCACCCCTTCATCATGCCTCACCCCTTCATCATGCCTCACCCCTTATGCCTCACCCCCTTCCCCATGCCTCACCCCTTCATCATACCTCATTCCTTCCTCCATACCTCACCCATTCCTCACCCCTTCTTCATGCCCCACCCCTTCCTCATGCCTCACCCCTTATCATGCCCCTCACCCTTACTCATGCCTCACCTTCCCCATGCCTCCACCCCTTCATCATACCTCATTCCTTCCTCACCTCACCCATTCCTCACCCCTTCATCATACCTCACCCCTTCATCATGCCTCACCCCTTTCTCATGCCTCACCTACCTCATGTCTCCTGTTCTCATGCCTCACCCCTTACTCGTGCCTCACCTTCCCCATGCCTCCACCTTTACCTCATGCCTCCTGCTCATGCCTCACCCTTTACTCATGCCTCCACCTCTTCCCCATGCCTCACCCTTACCCCTCATGCCACCGTTCTCATCCTCACCCCTACTCATGTCTCATCCTTCCCCATGCCTCACCCACCTCATGCCACACTTCTTCCCCATGCCTCCTCTTCTCATGCCTCACCTCTTCCCCATGCCTCACCCTTACCCTCATGCCACACCCCGTTCTCATGCCTCACCCCCCACTCATGTCTCACCCCTTCCCCATGCCTCACCCTTGCCTCATGCCTCACCCCTTTCTCTCGCCTCACCTTTTATTGTGTCTTTCCCACGGTTCGACTAAGGCTCGGACATACGCAGTTAATGGAATCTAGTCCACCAGTACTTTGGCAACGCACATTAGCAGGCATAAATCACTTAGGTACAGACATGTATACTGTACATGCATTTGCTGGGCGGTGTTCTTGCTGGGAATGAGACCTTCTAAATTTGTTGTTCTTAC